TAATAGAATTGAATACTAGAATAGAAAATCGCCTTTATTAGCTAATTTGTTTAAAATATGTCCCCTCCACATGATTTTAATATTAATTCCTAAAAATAAGTAAGTGAATAAAAAAGAATAGGAAGGCTGTGTTGTTGATTGCATGACCCCTAAGAGTGATTAGAATCTAATTCTCCTTACAATATCACCCCCTAAATCACACATCAAGGTCATGAGAATAAAAGAAATGATCACCAACTTAAGAAGCTCTTGATTATTGAACAAATTCTCCTTGTCAGCACCTTAGAAATTGTATAGAGAATAGTTAGGAGAATATGCATACCAATATTAGGGTGTAAAGGGTTAAAGAGAGGTGGTAAAAGTTTTTTTCATGAATATGCTGAGGATGAAGAACATAAAAGTACACAAGATGTAGTCAAACCTGTATTAAGCAGTCACCCTTAGGGAATGGCAGCATGTCAAAGCTTAATACAAGTTGATGAGCAAATGACTTGCCCAATGTTTGTGTGCAAACTGCAATGTTGAGGTCATTTTTTAACTCAGAGTACTTACATTGATTTGGGGAGATATACATGGAATACATTGTACCTGAGAGATTTTTCTTATTTTTATTTAATTAGTGGTTGTGCTATAAGTGACTATTCAATGCAGGTGGAAGATAATACAAACCTGCCTTTAAGATTCAGTTAGGGGTGACCTCGAACACGGAATGGAAGTGAAAATTACAGTTGTTTAGAGAAAATATTTGGAACTTTGACAACCAATCACCTAATACAGGATGACCACTTAATAAAGTGCTACTTACATGTAAGACCGTTTTGACTGTACCTGTCACAAATAAACTTAATTGTGGCCTAACTTGACATCAGAAGTTCCAGGGGTCAATCCCTTGTGGGGGACTGTGGGGGGTTGAGATTATTTCCCTTCTTTGCCCTTGTGACAAAACAATTAACAAGTTTTTATTTAAGAAAGAGATTCTTGATCATTAAAGTCACTAGTTTCCTTTTTTTTCAAGTTAATGACCAGTCAACCTTAAAGATTGCAGAGGATAAGATGAAGAGCAAGACTCATTTAGGTGAAGATCAGTTTTCAATTTGGAGAAAATTTCATCCCCAAAATCATTCTTAGCCAAAGACAAAATTATATATCAATATTAATCACAAAAGTAATTAATAAAATTAGGAAGATACAATTAAAACAATCAGAATTTCATAATCATCAATCTTGAGCAATCTTTATTTTCTGTTCTTGGTTTTGCTTTGACACTGATAGTTGAAAAAGCAACTAAACATCACTGGTTGATTGTGATAAAATAATTTTACACTCAATGAAATAATTATGTTTTATAATAGAAAGAGTTGGTCTCGTTTTTTTTTTTAGTTTGATTTAAAAATAGCACTAAGGAAAAATAAATTCATTGTTTCACAAGATATGTCTCAGATTTATTACAGGTACTATGGTATGTAATTTCATTCTGCAAAAAAAAATCATGACATAGTGAGGCAGTGTAGCTGAGTGGTTAACCCTTTAACCCCCAGAAGTGACCAACATGTAACTTCTTCCTATGATATCCATGTTTTCTAGCAAACAGTTTATGAGAATATTCAAACTTATCTGAAAGTTTTTATCTTGATCTAACACCAAATTCTTGTCACTAATTTACACGGAATTGTGTAGCAACAAGAGGAGAGAATTAACAATCAGATCTTGGGAATTAAAGGGTTAAGGCACTGGTCTTGTAATCAGATGGTTCCAGGTTCAAGCCTTCCACCCTGCTACTCACTGAGTTTTTTCTTGGTTACGTTAAGGTTGAATAGTTGGCCGTGCTTCCTATTTTGGCCTACTGGTTTGCAGCTGGCCAGTTAAGATATTTTTAATGTTTATTCACATTGTTCATTTAAAATGTGTTTGTATTGGCCCTGAAAAGCCCAATTCCACAAGAAGAAGCCTGAAACAATTCAGGCTTTGACAGGGTTTGAACCCATGTCTCTGTAAGTGTTCATAGTTGAGTGTTCTACCATCTGAGCTACAAAGCCATGCACTCACCAGGAGCAAGCCAAGAATCCCTCCATTAGTGGCAATCATCCCCAGACCAAAACAAGATCTATTCCATTTGTTGCTCATACATTCCTGTATGGGAGCAAAGACCCCACAATTACATTTTAGATTGTGACATATGACTTCATAGCTCATCTGTTTGAGTGCCCAACCGATATATGGACTCTGTCATAACCTGATTTATTCACGCTTCTCCAACTTTGAGGATCACTCCCTAATTTGTAATTATAGAGGGCAGTTACATATAGGAAGTTTCTGGGAATTTCTAGAAGCCAACTAGTCATGTCATATGAATACTGGAGTAGTGTAATGCAATGCTCTGTAACTTTCTAGAACATTCTTCTAAGTGTTGTCTTACAATCTATAATGCTTAGGAAAATGTTAGTTATATTATATTAGCTTCCAGAACATTCTAAAATGACTAAAAAATGTACATAAGAAGTCAGTCACTTAAAATAATCTTTTCTGTCTCCAAAGACTTTCAACTGTTTGGAGAAGCTAAAGAAGGCTACTATGGTCTTCTATGAAAGTTGGCCTACATTCATACATACAAAAATACATACATACATACATACATTTATTGCACTCTCTGAACAGGTCTTTTCAGTAGCAATATTGAAAAATTAAATGCAAATTCTAAAGAATGCAAAACCAAATGAATCACACATCATTACCTTGAAATTTATGGTCAAAATTAAAGAAAATAAGATTGCTACTAACGGTATTTCCTTATATTACATTAAAAACATTTCAAATACTGTTTTCATTTTAGAAAAGTTTGTCTGGGGAGTTTGTCAAGAGTTTCAAAAGAGATTTTGAGATAACAGTGTTTACTGTGATTTTTATATTGGTGGTGACTGGAGTTTACGCCAGTAATGGGCTGTTGTTGTTTTAATTTAACCTAATGATTAAGTCTCTTATGCACGGCTTTTGGGATGAAGTGATCATAAAGTAATTTGTTGTGAGAAAAAAGTATAGAGGGCTTTAGCTTCAATGCCCAGGACATTGATCAAGTGTTTTTTCACTTACAATATCTAAGTAGTCCCTTCAATCACAAGCACAGCACCTTTGTTAAGGAAAACAATAATATAAAAGTACTCTATGAAAAGAAAGTATTCAAACTACTTTTATGAAACTAACTTATGAACCTGGCTAGAGGAATAGCAGCAAATAAATGCCATGAAGGAAAATTGTGATGTTATCCCTAAAAGGCCATACACATTCCCCACCCTCCCCCATCAAAAGAGAAATTAGCAACAAAATTTAACTGTATACTATCTGATATTTACAATAAATACAAATTGATCTGGTGAACGAAATTGGTAAATTACTTCAGTAAAGCAAGAAAATGTAAAGAAAATGTAAAGAAATTAGTCAAACCCTTAGATAGGATTTGGTGATTACCAGCTATACATTATTACACCGTTATTATTGAATGACTAGAAAACTCTTGAACAACAGTGCAATTCCAATAAAAAACAGAAACCTTACATAATCTTTAAAGAATCTACTAGTAGATTAAAGCCAGGTACATTTTGTAAATTTAATCTCAAAAAGGAAGTGGGAAACTGACTTCTTGAAAATTACAGTACCGCTCAGGGTACTGAGCAGGGTAGTCAGACGCATATATACGATTTTTTGGTGCGTACGGTTGAAAAAAATGCGCGACTCGTGTGCCTTTGAAAAAAGCTACCATGTTACACTCACGCATGTCCCGTCGCTTCGCGAATTTATTGAATAACGAGCAGTAGCAGTAGATTTGCTTAATATGAGTTGTTGATGAATCAGCTGGGAAGGAAAATGTCACTTACTCAAGGCATCGAAACGCATGTTTCATTGAGTGAGTAACGAAACAAATACTCACTAATATGCTTCAAAATTTATTCATTGCAATCAGCGCTCCCTACGATGTTTACGTTGCGGAATGTAAACAATTTGGTGTCTGCATCGTAGGTGATGATTTCTTCGAAACTTCGAACCTACCTCGATCACCTTCGATGAGGATCAGAAGCAAAATAAGGTAAATTTCCGCACAGCCCCAAACTTCATTATGCTTGCACATCTTTGGTGCTACACTGAATGATAAAGCTTCATATATGGATGCAAAATGAAGTACGGCGCTGTACGAAAATTTTGCCGGAAAATATCTTGTTTAAGATTGTGAATGATGTTCACTTTTACTCATTGCAATCGGCGCCCGCTTCAGTGTTTACGCACTGGAATGTAAACAGTTTCATCTCGCTCCTGATGATTTGTTTGATTGTGGAGCGCATAATGTTACAACGATGAAAGGTCAAGTTAAAGTAAATCGCAATGTCAAAGACGAAAATGCACCTAAAAACCGAAAACGCTTCCACAGACTACCGTTCAGTATCTTATTATGCAAGCGTCTGTCAATAACGTCTAAATATTTCAGAACAGACTCTAAAATCTGTCATCAACCCATGGTATTGATGTTTTGCCTAATTGTACGCGCCGGCGAGTCTTAAACAAACTTGAACTATGTGTATCCTGCTGTAAATTTTTCCGTTCCCATTTTTCGAGCAATTTGGTGAACATCGATCGATGATTTGACAAATATCGAAACAAAAAGCAAATCCGGTTTCTCTTAAAAATTTGCATACGAGTCAGAGCAAGAAGTAGTCGTGACGGGTAAGCATACTGTGACACAACACCATTAAAATAAGCGATTAGAGCTTATCAGTTTTTTGGATTAAAAGGCGATATGAACGAACCAGTTTTCGAGAACAGCATGTTCACCGATGACAAAAGCTATGAAATGAGCATTCGGACGTGGGTTTGCATTCAGAACGCGACAACTTGTTACAAACGGGTGCCTTAGCTGATTTTACCGAATTACGCTATACTGAGACTAAATTTATTTTGAACAAATTCCCAAGCCAAAAAAAATTAGCGAACAATTTGGAACAAGAAACAGCAGTTTATAAAACGACTACTTTACCATTTTTAAAATTTGTTGTAACAGCAGCAATGCGTCCGTCATTGTTCACTGCAAACCCTCTTACTTCAAAGAACTCGTCACAATTTTGGATTTGTACACTACGAACAAACTCACCATCTTTGCTCAATATTTTAACCTCCAAGAGGTTTCTGCTTAATTCTATACCAGCGACGACGACATGTTCACCTGCTGGTTGAAATGTAATGCTCGTGTATTTAAATAAACTTCTTTGCAATGTAAACTTGTTCAGATGGTAGCCGTGTTCACTGAATATGTGAACAACCAAATCTGCTTGGAAAAAATTGTTACGGGAGGGATCATCATAATTGTCCAATACTATAACACGGCCATCATTAGCAACAGTGATATCCATCGCATACCTCAATATCTTTTTTCCATAAATGCGAACACATGTTCCACTACTGTCATATTCCTTCACTACTCTGACGCCCTGCAAGATTACTACTTTCTCTGGATCTCTGACCGATATTCGTTTGGAACAGTTTCCCCTCAGACGAAACCTGTGATGCAGGTCAGCGATTTTATTATATTTATAGACCCACCAAGATCTCTCAGATCTCTCAGATTCATGAAACCCAGGCTTCCCCAGCATGGTCAGCACAAAGATACTGTCATTCATGTCCGTGACTACATCTTTAATATATAACGGTGTAATTACGTCCTCTGTAGGGAGACCGAAAACTTTCACAAGCTTACCGTTTCTGTCAAACACCTTCACGCAACGATCTCCATAATCTCCGACAATGAATTCTCCGCTGGAGTTTGTAGCGATACCTATCGGGCTCTTTAGCTTGTGTTCCTTCTCACCTTCCTGACCAAATGACCATGGTGTTACACAACAGTGCTCCATGCCATGTTGAACAAGTACTTCGGTTACTCTCGCGTCATACAATGGATTGATTTTGTTGTCTCCAGTATCAACAGTGGGCCAGATCCAAAAGCGTGTATCTCCACCGAATGTTCGCGTGACATCGTAGATGACACGATTCACGTGACAGACAGCAGAGATGATTTCCCTTCTTTCCTCTTGACTGAACCAACGTCTAACTGCCTGAATGCCTGTCTTGAGCTGAACATCAAAGTTATTCTGTACTGCTGGCAGAGAGTTTAGTTCCTTTATACACACTCTGCATGGTGCCAGTGCATCAGCGGGATTGTCTACTGTCTCTAATATAGTCGCCATTACTCGATACTTCATGGCCAGAATGCGGTCTGATGTTTCAAAGCCTTCGTTTTGAAAAGCTTCTGTTGCTTTCCTTCGAGCATCTTTGAATCTTTTCTTTGCAGTGGAAAGCTTTCTTGTGGCAGATTCATCCAGGCCAGTAATCTCTAACCTTCTGATCCCTTCAATAAGAGGAAAGGCTTCATTGCAAGCCGCTTGAGCTGTTACCGCGCCACACACACTTCTAGCGTTTGCTATGTTAAACACTTCATACAACAACGCAATTCCTTCCTCAAAGAAACTGACACACGCTCTTAAATCCTTCCACGATAACGCGTCCAACTTTGACCTGATTTCGTCGATTTCCATGACGATCAAGGAGAAGAGTTTTTGATCTGTTACATCGCCATCTTTCAGAATCTTCAAGACCTTATCTCTACTTTTCCTGAATAGCAATCCGATAGTGGGTTGCAACACGGTTATTGCTATCGAGGACATAGCGGTTGAATAAAGTTGTGGGTAACCTCAGAAACTTTTTATGCGTTAATAGAAATTGTGATCTTTCTTATTCTTGCGCTCTGATCAGGCGGTGTCCGCACTCTTATTGCGTTGCATCATGGTCGTGATACAAAAAGTGAGCATCTGGGTGTGATTGGCCATAAAAAAAAAACAGGGAAAGATTTCCATATAACCTCATACTTCTCTAAAACAATGTCTTGATCCTTGAACTGTGCTCATAGCAGAGTATAGGGTTTTGTGGAAATCGTGTCAATATCAGGGTAAAGAGTAAAACTTCCGCTTGTGCGAGCTTGTGATAGACACATTCAGCTAAATAGTTACGTGGCTTGAAGTGGGTGTTTACATCAGTTCAAAATGGCGGCTGTATACTTCTGTACTAGCGACTAAATACAGGAATGGCTCGACCTGTAATTGGATGATAAAAATAGTAAAAGCTAATAAGTTATATCTTAACTCCTTGCTCGTGAGTATTGTTAACCGCGTGTCTCGAAGCGGAACAATGAAATATTAATGTGAAAACACCGATGTGTCAAACAAGAAATGGCTACTTTCATAACGAAGAGAAGGCAGAGTCTATCTTGTTCAGCGAGGTCGTTCAGCGATATTCCGGCGATGAAAAAGTCATCCGCTGCCAAGCTCCGCTGGCAAAACTCATTTAGTCAATTTAGGCGGACGAGAAGAGACTGGAGCCATTCCTGTATTTCACCGCTGACAGGAATGGCTCCAACTCATGTGAATATTAATTTTTATTCGTTCTGGCTAAATAATTTATACACAG